TACATACAACACCCAGTGCTCATCATAACAAGTGCCCTCCTTAAAGCCCATCACCCTGGGGTGCCTGGGTGGCTCAGACAATTAAGCATCCTATTCTTGATTTTCGGCTCAGGTCATGATCTCACAGTTCGTGAATTCAAGCCCCACCCACATCAGGCTCCATGCTGATGGTGTGGAGCCTGCTTGGGATCCTCTCTCTCTGCCCCCCACCCCCACCTCACTCATGCTTGTGCTCTCTCTCTCTCTCTCAAAAATAATAAACTTAAAACAAATACCATCACCCATTTGGCCCATCCCCCACACAAGTTTACTTGTGAAATACGAACAGAGAGGATTCCAATAGTATTAGATTATAGATAGGTGCTTTAATCTAGCCATGAAAAGACACCATTTTGAAAAGCATGTACAATTTATGTACAATTAAGGTGATAATTAACAATCATTCTTCTATTAATGTGGCCACAAAATATTTTTTGCAACTTTCCTTTGGCCAGTATGTAGTGCTTGCATGTGCCTTAAAATATTTTAATTACCTTTCTAGGCAGAAGCCAAAGAATGATAAATCTCAGGAATTTAACTATTTGTATCAAATTTTGGTTTTTAGACCAAGGCACTATCCAGAATCACCTCTTTTATTTCCAGTGGACAACTGTGATTAGAAAAGGTGAGAAAGCCTCTGTACTTTCCCTTTCCATCCAGTACATTTACATTACTATTTTATTTCATCCAATGCTTTGGAAAAACTATTCAAATACCATCTATAATTTTAATATTAAATGTCTGCAATTCTGTTCTAGCACCTGTGACAAAATTCAAGAAAATTTGCTATAAATGAATAACAACTCAACATGTATTCAACCATCCAGGATCTCTTCCATGGCTCTACCAATCATTTATACCTTCCTCTGCATCATTGGTCTCTTTGGAAATTCTCTCTCTCAATGGGTATTCTTAACAAAAATAGGCAAGAAGACATCGACGCACATCTACCTAGCACATCTTGTGACTGCGAACTTGCTTGTGTGTAGTGCCATGCCTTTCATGGGTATCTATTTCCTGAAAGGTTTTCAATGGGAATATCGATCTGCACGATGCACGGTGGTCAATTTTTTGGGTACTCTATCCATGCACGTGAGTATGTTTGTCAGTGTCTTAATTTTAAGTTGGATTGCCATAAGCCGCTATGCCACCTTAATGAAAAAGGATTCAGTCCAAGAGACCACTTCGTGCTATGAGAGAGTATTTTATGGCCACTTACTGAAAAAATTTCGCCAGCCCAACTTTGCTAGAAAACTGTGTGTTTACATATGGGGAGTTGTACTCGGCATAATTATTCCAGTTATCATATACTACTCAGTTGTAGAGGCTACAAAAGGAGAAGAGAACGTATGCTATAATCGGCAGACAGAACTAGGCGCCGTGATCTCTCAGACCGCAGGTCTCATTGGAACCACATTTATTGGATTTTCATTTTTAGTCGTACTAACATCATACTACTCTTTTGTCAGCCATCTGAGAAAAATAAGGACCTGCACTTCCATTACGGAGAAAGATTTGACTTACAATTCTGTGAAAAGGCATCTTTTGGTCATCCAGGTTCTGCTAATAGTTTGCTTCCTTCCATATAGCATTTTTAAGCCCATTTTTTATGTTCTGCACCAGAGAGGGAACTGTCAGCAACTGAATTATTTAATCGAAATAAAAAACATCCTCACCTGTCTTGCATCAGCCAGAAGCAGCACAGACCCCATTATATTTCTTTTTTTAGATAAAACGTTCAAAAAGACACTATATAATCTCTTTACAAAATCTGATTCACCACATATACAACCCTATAGTTGACTTCTGACTAGAAAACACCAGCAAACAGAAAAGTGTTTGTGTGGCGATTTAGGGATACTGGACTACATGATTAACAGGTCACAGCTTGATTGAGATAGCAGGCCCTAAGAAACCCTCTTTGGTTTTAGAAATAACCATAAAATTCACTTTCCAGCTCTACTAATACTGCAAGTTGAGATGTCAGAGACTTTCAGAGGCAAAAGTCAAGCATATTAAAAGGATCTCACTGCATATGAAAGCAAGAGACCATTTTCTCTTTCAACTCAACTGTGTATGCTTTTATTCAGAACAAAACATTTCATGACTGTAGGATAAAGCAGCAAATGGTTTATGACTTTTCTCCTTTCTAGTAGTGGCAATATAAGGGCCCATCTGGGCCTAGGGTTTTGTTGGTAACTTTAAAAATGAGTAAAAGAAAAAAAGTCAGTCAGAAATTTCCTCACCAAAGTCCTATCTAGATGTACGAATAGTAGAGTGTAAACAGCCAAGGCTTTATAAATGCCCTATTTTGTATTGTCTGCTCATGTTACTGTGAGACCAATAATCATCGATTCCAGTATTTATTACGCCAGTGTTTTTATATATTTGGGTTAGGCTTGGTCGAAATAAAAGGCTAATACAATGTCATTATATGCCGATTTTCATCACATCTTGTAAATTTTCCTCTGTATTCAATATAAATAATGTGATTAATGACAAATAGTACCTGGCAAGTAGATATGCTCAATCAATTTTTGTGAAAATAAATGAATGAGTGATAAGGGCAGTATAACAGTATTGTCGTTGAGAGACTGGTCTCTGGAGTTAGAGTCCCTGGGTTTGATGCTAGCTGAACCTCTTCTCTTACTTAGCCAGACAATCCTCAGCAACTTACTTACCCTCTTAAAGTGTTAAGTTCTTCATTTGTAGAATGGAGAAATACTACGTAATTCATAGGTACTATTATTAAATCAGTTGATGTTACTATTACGAGTAGCTGTCATTTACTAAGCATTTGCTATGGGCCAGGCACTCTGCCTCTATGCTTTGCATGTATTTTAGTCATCACCACCATAAAGGATGCCAATTTGCTGATGAAAAAACTGAAATACACAGATAAGTCACCCCAATTTTCTCCAATGTCTAAATAAATACTTAAACTGTAAGCATTTCTTGGTCATTTCTTTCTTCCGTGTAATCTTGTCAGGAAGATAAGTGATGGTGACTATATCCTGTGCTATGTAATGAAAAAACAATGTTTTTAATGTGTTTTATTTTCCCCAAAAGATTGTACGTGCCTTTCGAGCTGTAGTCTGCTTTCTCTTTCTACTCCCACGGTACTTGCATTGTCTGTTCACATAAAAACCAGACAAAAAGTTAAATGAAACTGAAGTTGAATAAATGTTCATGGTAACCTGTTACTTTGTTAGAGACTGCTTAAAGACCCATTTATTCTCTACCCAGTGATTTCTTCAGTGCTCAAAAAGAAGTTTAAAGTAAGTTCACGTAGCACTTCCAAGCCTTTAATCTCATAGCATGTTTTTTGTTCCTGAATTACAAATGTGAAACAGTACGCTGTACAGATTCCCCAAGAGCCATGTGTTCAAAGTCACTAGAGGTTTTTCTAACACATCTGCAAAATTTTCATTAAAAAAGAATCAAAAACAAACAGTAAATATTTCCCTTCTTTTTTAGTTCAATGCTTAACTGAGAGAAGAACATGTCCAGAAAAAAGTCTGAAGTAAATGCATGCTGGCTTCAAATATTTATAGTGTACATCTATTCTTTTACAGCAGCAATCTAATTTCCGGCTGATTAATTTGCAGAGACAAAGGCAGACCTGGGAACTCCAGGCGATTTCCCTAAGTGCTGGCTGTAAACAGAGGTGTCCGATCACCGCTATCATTTTTACATAAGTGATACAGCATTAAATCTCACTGCAGTTAGGAGTTTTAAATATATATACATCTCCTCTAAAAATCATTATTAAAAACATCACTTTGGGGCGCCTGGGTGGCTCAGTCAGTTAAGCATCCGGCTTCGGCTCAGATCATGATCTCATGGTTCGTGAGTTCGAGCCCCGTGCCAGGCTTACAGCTTGGAGTGTTGACCCTGCTTCAGATTCTGTGTCTCCCTCTCTCTTGGCCCCTCCCCCGCTCACACTCTGTCTCACTGTCTCTCAAAAATAAATAAACATAAAAAAATTTTTTTTAAAAATCACTTTACCTTGCCACGACTTAAGTAAAATAAAAAACATATTACCAAGGTAGAGTTTCCTACATTTAAAAAAGGCAGGAAAAGAGGTGTGCAATTTCTCCTTAAGTTACTCATTCTGATAGCAAACTCCCATTTTAGGGGCACTTGGTGGCTCAGGCAGTTCAGTGTCCAGCTTCGGCTCAGGTCATGATCTCACAGTTCATGAGTTCGAGCCCCGTGTCAGGCTCTGTGCTGACAGCTCAGAGCCTGGAGCCTGCTTCGGACTCTGTGTCTCCCTCTGTCTCTGCACCTTCCCTGCTCACACTGTGTGTCTCTCTCTCCATCAAAAATAAATGTTTAAAAAAACCTCCCATTTTATTTCTCTGTACTGAGATTACCATGTTTATCTTCAACACCACAGATACTTTCTTGAACAGGTAATTGTACATCATGTTGGATTTTTGTGTGTAATTGGCAAGCTGGCTATTCAATGTCATGGTTAATATTTTATATGAAATACTACTTTCTAAATTACTCTACCTTTAAAGTGTGCATTTCAGAAAAACAGTGCTCTAAAAATTTGTATTATTATAGCTGATATAGGATATCATGTTATATGTTAGGTTTTATTAGTTTCAGGTGCACAGCATAGTTATTTGATGATTCTGTACATCACTCAATGCTCATCACAATAAGTGTAGCTACCATCTGTCCCCATACAATGTTATTACAATGTTATTGACTATATCCCCTATGCTGTACTTTTCACCTCCATGACTAATTTATTTTATAACTGGAAGTTCGTACTTCTTAACCCCCTTCACCTATTTCGCCCATCCCCATCACTCCCCTGCTGTCCGGAAACCACTGGTTTGAGAAAAACAATGTTTTTAGCATGTGAGTTAGTCAAACACAATTTCAGAAGCCCCAAATTTTGACTTCTTGGCCAGTGAGATTATACCTTAACTATAGAAGACAGGATTGACAAATGTCTATTTTCCCTTTTATCCTTTCCATATACTCACTCTTGTTGAGGCAGCTTCCAAACCATTAATTGGGAACACAAACCATTAAGACTAGACAAAGCAACCTTAAGGGCAAACTATTCAACCTGGAAGAATTTCTACTTCCTGGGTAGAAGAGGAAGACGTCAATCTCCCACATTTGCTAAGGACTCTTCACAGCCTACCCCTGGCCTTGCAGTCTGCAGGGTGGAGGTTGTTAGAGACAAACGTGGGAAGACCAGCTGAAAGGAAATGTGGCTGTGGCAAACCACAAAGACACCATGGAGGGATACTGGTAATCTGGTAAGCATTTCAACCATGGACCTTCCTCTGACTGCCCCCAAGTTCCAATTGAATTGATATTAGTGGGAAGAATTACTACAACTAGAAAGGTGTTGTACCTGACAGAAAAAAAATGCTTGGTCTTATCATACATGCTTGCTGGCCTGGCTCAGAAAGAGGGGAGCAGTGAAAGAATTCACATCTAGTAAGCAAGAGAAACAGTCATTCTTTTCCTTTTTATCTTTTTTGTTTTTAAAGTAAGTTCTACTTCCAACATGCGGCTTGCACCCACAATCCCAAGATCAAGAGTTGCATGCTCTACCGACTAGGCCAGCTGGGCTCCCCTCATCCTTTTCTTTCTAAATCAAGGAGTTCATTTTTTTTTTTTTTTGGAAGGGTGGGGTGGGAGAAGGGAAGCACAGCAATTAGAAACAGGACATAAATTTAAGATGATCTTATAATTCATGGGATTTTTCTAAGTACAATTATTAAAATCCTACATTCAAGCTGAACATGTCCATTATGTTCAACAACCTCACAAAAGACATGCAGAAGAGGAATCAGTGTGTTTCTTATAATAGAGATTAAAATAAACGTGTTCTCATTTTAATGAGAATTTCAATTTCTTTCTCCAACATGAGGTGGAGTAAGAGACGTGGAAAAAGTGTCAGCAACCCAAAGTCACAGAGGAAGAAATACTGTATGAACTCCATGATGCCATGGGAACTAGTGTGATGTGATGAACACCTGTTTATAAAGTCTGGTCCTACGCAGGTGAAAGGGGAACTGAGAACAGAAGGGGACCAGAGAGCAGCCAGGCGTGTTCACCAGTTAGGAGGAAAACCATTTCAAGGAAGCTCATGCAGAAGCGCTTGGGTGGAGGCTTCTGGCTGAGTGTCTAGGACTGTCTGCCCATGGGGTTTTGCACACTTCTGAGAACTAAACACTGAGCCCCCAAACCTCCTGGGCAGAGGCCCCATTCAGAATAGAAAGTGACTGTGTGTATGGCCATTTGCATTTCGAGAAGCAGTGTAACTTCAGTTATTAAAATTGTACGTCAGTAGGGCAGAGCCACAGAAAAGTCTAAGAATTGCTTTGTCTCTCCACGCCCAGGTGATGCAGTGTAAGGCTGCCTCCAGAAGTTAGGAGAGACAAGAAAGACCCGAGGACTCTTAATGCTTAAGAGAACTAATGAAGGCAGGCAAGGGGCCAGGACTTGCATTTACCTTGCCAACTGTACTGTTTCTTCTTAGAGTTCTTTTAATTTAGGGGTGAGAGGAAGAAAAGAGAAAGAAATGAAACATAATGAAAGTTTTCACATCCTCTCACAAGAAACAGAGGAATAAAAGGGAAGAGGACAGAAAAACAAAACCTCCCCCCCCAACCCCTGAAAAAAAAAAAAAAA